TCCGGTCCTATGCCAGGTCAAATCGCTTTTGATTTTTTAAGTTCAGCGAAGCGAGTGAACAACAGAGAATCAAACATAGCCAGAGGTTGAAGTTATTCACAACAATCCAATTTATACCTTAAAAAGGCTGCCCTGTATTCCCTCGAAAACCCCCGAATTTTGTGATCCTGCCAGCCGCTCATAAGCAAGGGTTCCCTCGCTGACCGTGACTTTGACCTTTCATATGGAGCTCGTCAACTATGGTTTTGACAGCAGATATGCTGATATTACACTGTATGTCATAACGTTGAGGCATACACCCTGGGGAGGCTTTCCACAGATGGTTTTTCTTTCGAGCGAGTAGTTCAATCCAATCAGGAGTGGATCTTTAGTAAGTTGGATTCTGGATTCCAATCTTTAGTTGGATTCCGGATTCCAATCTTTAGTTGGATTCCGGATTCCAAAGCCCAGGATTCCGGATTCCACAAGCAAAAAATTCCTGGATTCCGGAATCCGGATTCCCTTACATGGGGCGAAATGTAACGCTGGAGTATTTTGGAAACCGGACACTGTGTCTGTCTAGAAGTCGTTTCCATCTTTCCTCCGTTTGTCCTTGTGAAAAAAAAAACACTGCAAAAGGCAAACAAGAAGCTTTTCAAGGTAAGTAAGTTGTCATTGTCAAAGGATTCGCTCGTTAATTGTTTCTAGGAAAACTGCTTCTATCTTTCTTTCGTTGGTCTTTGAAAAAACACTGCAAATGGCAAAGAAGCTTGTCAAGATGATCGGGTGCAGGTATGTTTGTTATCATTTTTGTTGAAGGAATTACTCATTTTCTCTTACTAGGCAAAACATCTCAAATCTCTGCCAGTCGATTTTTGTCTTCTTAACTGTGTACTACGATAAAATTTTCAAACACTGACTAGAATCCTCTTCGATAAGATAACGAGTTAGTTTCTTCATCGCGTTCGTTCACAAATAAACACAGTTAAAATGTTGAAGGCCAAAGTCAACATCCAAGTCCTCAAGGTTGACAGGCGTCTTATAACTTTATTTAAACATTTTTTCCGAGGTAAAGAGATTTAGACCTCTGAAAATGAGCATTTTCTTTAAAAATTTTGGTCCGTATAGCAAGTTACGGACCGCAAATTGGTATCTTTACGGTCCGTAAATTGCATCTCGTTTACTTAGTGGGACTTAGACTATTTTCATGGCAAGAAAAGGATCATTCCCTTTACTCATTTCAACCACACAATGGACAGTGATTTCAGGTTTCTCGAAGTGTTTTTCCAGTTCTTTTACAACGCCTGGTTTTTTGTTTGCTTTACTTTCAGACTGTGTAGATTTGCCCTTTTTAGATGTCTTACTTTTCAGGTCTTGTCGCAGTGACAAACTTCCCTTCTGTGGTTTTAAGTCCAGTTTTTGACGAATAATACTTTGCTTTGACTTAAGAAACATTTTCACGAAGTACGATCAGCATTGCAGTATTCTGCTTGCAGAATTTAATATGCCTACTTAAGAAACATAGTTGGAACCCTTTTCAGCACCGCCAGCTGCACTTCTATCGGGAATTTTCTCCGGCAAATGCCTTCCCAAGCTTCCCGTATCTTGCAACTTCAAGACATCGCTTACATTAGAAGTGATTACGTTCAAAAACCAGGAATAATTCTTACGGATATTGCAGCCTTTAGTTGCGATCCTGGATAGCACTGATTCCAGTTCGTTCAGCTCAATGCACTTGGTTTATGGTTTATAGAACGAGGAATATTACATTTGAAGCGCGCTTGTTTTGGTGTATGGCCTATAGAAAGATGAATATTACAAGTGAAGTACGCTTTTTTGGTATATGGCTTATAGAACGTGGAATATTACATTATTATGAAGCGCGCTTCTTGTGGTTTATGGCTTATACAACGATGAATGTTGCATTTAAAGCGCGCTTGTTTCGGTATATGGCTTATAGAAGGAGGAATAGTTAGAAGCGAGCTTCTAGTGATTTAGAGCTTATAGAACGAGGAGTGTGTTTGAAGCGCGCTTGTTTTGGTATATGGCTTATAGAACGAGGAATATTACACGTGAAGCGCGCTTGTTTTGGTATTTGGCTTATAGAACAAGGAATATTACTGTTGAAGCGTACTTGTTTCGCTTTGTGGCTTATATAACAATGTATGTATCAATCAAGCATACGGATCGTACGAACCGTAACAAACCGTGCCCTGATGCAATAACGAGATGCACGCTTCTTATGTGCTCAGAATACGAAATGTTAGCAATGCTGACGGTTTGTACGGAGCGTAAACGTTTTAGCTTAAAAATGGTCATTGATTCTAACATAGAAATGCCCTCACGCTTTTACAATGCAACTCTGTTTCAGCTTTCAATTTAGTGAAGGACAGTTGTTTCGCCCTTGGCTGAGAGAAAAACTGACACGCAGACAGCAAAATTTAAAAATATAGATTAATTGATGTCAAACAATGAAATGGACAAATGGCATTTGGGGTACATTAAGACCATGTTTATTCATGAATCACTATTTTTTGTTCTAAATCACAACTGTTCTAAATCGCTTCATTCATGATCTAAATCGCGTAATTTCTGGCTATGTTTGCTCTATATTGCATCATTTCTGTTTCGTGCACAATATGAGATGAAAAGGCCTTTTGTTTGCCCTTTTCATCAAACCAGCTACTAGCCAGATCGAATAAATATTGGTGCCAACTAAATTCTGCGATTTCAAAGTGGCCGTAATAACAGACTAAATTGCACCTCACTCAGTTCAATTACCATTATTAACGTCTAAAGTATGTTATATTTAAAAAATTGTCCTGCCTCTCTACGTTTTTTCTCAATAAAGATCGGACATATGAGCATTTTTTCTATTGTACAGAGTAGGTTAGAAAGTCTTTCTGAACCGAAAATTATCTGACCTTCTTTCCAGTAAATTGGCCTTGCCTTAAGGGAAGGCTACAATCAATAAGTCATCGAGTTGAAGAACCCTTTTCTAACCTATGAAAAGCTATAAGTTTTACTGACTCGTGGAGAATCCGTTGTGCTGATCCACACTGACAACAACGTCACATTCGTTCTCTTTTAAACTGCTTGTATCTTTCTTTTTTGCAAGGAGGAAATGATAATGACTTATTCTTTGATTTAAATAAATCTAAGCTACAAGCTAGTGTCCCAGATATCATTGCGATACCACAGTTCCTCCACCAGGTCTCTTACTTGACATGCGTTTGGTCTCACATCAGGATCTTGTTGAAAACACAAATGCATCACCTATTGAAGCTAAAAGAGAATTAATCATTAAATTAAAAAATAGAAAAGGAAAAAATCATTTAACTATTAACACCTTTATTTACACTACGGCTACCTAGTGTAACAGGTAACGTTTCGTTACTGTTCTTAACATGCAACATTGTTAGTTTGTTAGCCTTTGTAATAACGTACACTTTAAAGGCTACTGAATTATGCATAAAAGCAATGCACAGTAAAAACTAATTCTCTAATAAGCACCCGGGGGCATATTTTTGGAGTTTGAGGCAGGGGTGGGGGTTTACCAGAGAGGCGGAAAGTAATTGACAAAGTCCATAATTACAATTACAAGTGGGGTTTGGTTTACTACAAGTAGTCACACAAGGCTCAAGGTTCTCAGCTGTTGTGGGTCATGCATATCAAATCATAATCAAGTGTCACTTGAGCTATATATATTAACGCCAATAATCGATCTATTCGCTACGTAATGTAACAATTACCTCCTCAAATTCATTAGAGTCGCGGCAATTCTTCATCAGTTCACTCAGAACGAAACCGAACTGAAGTATATTCTTGCCCAAAATGTCCTTCACCGAGTGACCATTTAAAATACATTCAGGAAAATCCTGAGAAACCCGCTGAGCGAAGCCAAAACTTCCCAAAAAAGCAGTTATTGGAGGCACCTACATGTAGCAGAAAGCAAAAAGATCGTTTCTAGTGCTCTAAGCAAAATTGAAAGATATAAAGTGTTTGAAGTTTTCTTTAACACTGTATGTGATTTGATGAAAATTCCTCGGCTCCGTCTTCTGGACCTTAGATAAGTTTGGACACGTGACTTGATTGCGTCACAGCTTGCAAATTTTGTCATTCTGTTTTAATGTTATGTCTGTCATGTTGGAAAAGTCATAAAATCAACAAAAAGGTACTAGATACTAAAATCTTAGTAAATAAACAAATTAATAACTTAAGGAGTTGATGGTATTTTAAGGTATCTTAATTGCGCCATTTGGCTCGAACAGATAGGACAGTTTCCAACTGCTTAACTGATCTCTGAAGGAGCCTCTCGGGGAATCTGCCGACCTGGCCACATATTACGAGGTTGGTATGCAGAAAAAATGGAAAAAAGTGCGAAGTAAAGTACAAACTTAAGCCTTTCCGGGCTCTTGAGTCGGAACGCGTGGTTGATTACTTACGAAACCTAGCGCGCAGGCGCATACCGGCATGACGCATACATAAGGCGATAAACCGAAAAAAGGACGCCCTACACTAATGCTTTAAAATTACCCTGAATCCTCTGCTAATCAATATACTGGAGGTTGTTATGTTGTTATGGACCACGCCTTTCTGTTCCAAGTGCTGTATAGGGGAGATCAAGTCAATAGCCACAGCGATAAGAGAGTCCAGATTAAAAATAATCCTGTTACTTTTGAAATACTCCTCCAAAGTCGTGTTTGCAGAAAAGTCGTAACACAATAAACTATGAATTGGAGAAACAGGGGGGAAAAATAAAAAAGAAAGAACAATGGGTACTAAAAACTTTTTGGTTGATATTTTTGGAAGCTGGGTATTTCAGAAAACAAACAAAGCAGACAGTTATAAGCGTAGAAAAGTTTTAGATCCTTCTTATGTCAATGAACCGTAAAAATAACCATTTTACTTAAAAACCCGAGATAAATGAACAAATCACGTTTGCCATGATAGGGGCTTACCCACCAGGTCATGCCACAATCTAGATAACTTGAAGCTGTTTAATATCTAAGAATTCCGTAAGCAATACGGCCATTTACCCGTACAAATCACATCTTTACAATTTATTGGTTAAAAAATCTGACTAAAACTGACTAGGCTAAAGGGAAAGGATGGTTTTAATTACAATGAACTTTTCTTGAATCTTGGAAATCCTGCTTTCTTGTAGTTAACAACACACTTTTCGGCTGCAAAAAGTAAAAGAAACCCTAAAATGATGAATAGTCTTTTCTTTCTGACAATCAGCTGATGGAATTACAGCTATGTACAAGTAATGAAANGTCAATAGCCACAGCGATAAGAGAGTCCAGATTAAAAATAATCCTGTTACTTTTGAAATACTCCTCCAAAGTCGTGTTTGCAGAAAAGTCGTAACACAATAAACTATGAATTGGAGAAACAGGGGGGAAAAATAAAAAAGAAAGAACAATGGGTACTAAAAACTTTTTGGTTGATATTTTTGGAAGCTGGGTATTTCAGAAAACAAACAAAGCAGACAGTTATAAGCGTAGAAAAGTTTTAGATCCTTCTTATGTCAATGAACCGTAAAAATAACCATTTTACTTAAAAACCCGAGATAAATGAACAAATCACGTTTGCCATGATAGGGGCTTACCCACCAGGTCATGCCACAATCTAGATAACTTGAAGCTGTTTAATATCTAAGAATTCCGTAAGCAATACGGCCATTTACCCGTACAAATCACATCTTTACAATTTATTGGTTAAAAAATCTGACTAAAACTGACTAGGCTAAAGGGAAAGGATGGTTTTAATTACAATGAACTTTTCTTGAATCTTGGAAATCCTGCTTTCTTGTAGTTAACAACACACTTTTCGGCTGCAAAAAGTAAAAGAAACCCTAAAATGATGAATAGTCTTTTCTTTCTGACAATCAGCTGATGGAATTACAGCTATGTACAAGTAATGAAAGCTATGCTAAGCTATGTATAAGAGTGTAATCCACATCAAAGCAACCTTTATAGTATTGCCATTAGGCCGGACCTTTCAAATGACATTGGTCCAGGATTGCATTATTCTAATATGAATGTCTCAGAGTTGAATGATGCAAGCAACCCCGTTGACCAAATGACAGTGCATTTTTTTTATAAGAGTAGGGCAGCTTTAATGGGAGCTTCAATATCGCGCAAGCAACGCTAAAGAGCAGGCTCTTGTATCTATCAAAATAAAACCAGGGAACGTCTTACTCACTCTTAAAATAATAAATCAGATCCAAGGAAGCTATGGAAACAAACCCTAAAGGTTAGCGACCCAAAAATAAGAATCATCAACATCTTCAGCTAGCGATCAGAGGTCCATTTCTGATAGAGCAAAGATAGGAAACCACAGGAAGCCACTGTACAGTAATATAAAAGACCACATAACCTCCCAGTGAAAGAAAAGCGGCAAGGAAACATTTGCTCAATCCACACCACGAATCCTTCAAAACAGACCTTACCCGACAAAATGAAAGAGCAAGCGACGAATTAGCAAGGGGTAAATGCCTTGTAGGCATACCAAATCCCCTGTGTCATACTCTTACACGAAGTCAACTCTTCACCCTATTTTCAATTTTACTCCACAATCAGTGAATTAGAATTGAAAAATACTATTAGTTCACTTTGTCTTTAATCGTTGATAAACAAAAAAGTGGACCTCTGAAGGGAAAGTATCTGTTATCAACGTACTTGCAGAGTGCCAGCAGTATTTGATTATATTGGGATGCTCCAGTCCCTGCCTAAGCTCTTTTGCTAACTCCACTTCCTTTTTCCAGTCCTCTTCTTTTATCTTTGAGAAGTGCTTGATCAATCGAACACATGCGTTCTTTTTACTTCCGGCCCACGCCACAACAAATCCCTGAAAAACAAAACATTGAACATTGTGAACACCAACGTCGCTACGGTGGGGTATTGTCACTACAAAAATGCCTAAAATTACCAAAAATGCACCAAAGTTTCGGACCAAATTTGACCCAAGATAAGGACTTCGAGAAAAGGTAATTTTATTATTTGTCAGTCATGGGATATTTGTTACGGAAGGTAGCAGACGCGACAGAAACATAGTGAAAGTGAGAATTGCAATGCCTTAAACGCAACTCAGCCCTGATGATTATCGCATGGTCTTTTACATCATAGCAAAATTACAGGTCTTACACTCCATATACGACTCAGTGTTAATTCTGATATTAGTAATGTTATTCACTTAGAAAACACTTATGGACAGACAATAGTAGTG